ATAGAAGCGGCAACACCGCATTGTCGAAAATATTTTAGTTGGCTAGAGAATGTCCGAATATGCCCTCCATTAAATTTTCAAAGTGATCCGTTGTCTGGTTCACCAGAAACGTCTAATGTGCCATCCACCGTGAATCAGCCTGTATAGCACAGGATATGATTCAAAATAAACATTAACATAATAAAAATAAAAATATAAAACGTAGAGTTCCTGGTAAGAATTCAACCGTACTTGAATCTCGCTAATTTTTATCCAAATCTGTTCCCTACCTTTGCGATTTATCAATTGACGTTTTCAAAATATTAGTACCGTTAATAAAGGCAAAATTCAAATTCAGCATGGAAGCACATTCAAAATTCTTTGTTATTTCTGATATAATTCGATCAATTACTATCATTATTCTTCATTTTCGTTATATCATCAGAATAGAGAATAGTTGAACAGTTGGAGCGTTTGTAATTCGTCTGCACACACTCAATGTTTTTTACGTTTCACGTTTTTTCATCAACTTCTCCAGTTTCTTAAATCCAATATTCCATTGAATTTCGTTTTATTTTCTGTTAAGTTCTGTTAAGTGTGACGGAACGGGCAAGGATGAAATCTTCTTTCTGAATTTCTATATTTACTCGATTGATTTCTCGAAGAATATTCGCCCAAATATTTGAATTGACAATGAATTTAAAATTCTTTGTAGCAGTTAAAATGTGACCTGCCCCGTACTTAGCTTCTTGATCATATTTATAATGTTTGCTTAACTACGTCTAAGGCTTCCGCTACTTCTGGCAAATTATTCACAGCAACCTATGTCGCCGACAAACTCGTGTGACTACCTCCTTTCAAATTAGTTTCAACATATAATTTTATAATGTCCCACCTAGTAGTAGAGCCTAAAGAAAGGAATATAGTTTTTAAATCACTCCAAATAGGTCAATAGCTTCCTGGCATGATGAAGCAGAATGAACACCTACAAGATTTGAAGAGTGATTATTAAATGTGCAATGAATGAATTATATGGTCCTTGAACTATTCGGTACAACAATCGAATCTGCTTGTGTTGAAATTATATTTTTTTCTGCCATGGACACAACTGCCGATGATGTACCTGGTCGCAAATCGGGTGTAGGTGTTATTTCAGCACTAACAAACGTTCTAAACTTTATCAGTTATTTCTGTCCTGTGTGCTACCGATTCATCAACATACCCTCCAGCGACCGTTGATGACTTCCAACCTCCATGTTTCTTCAATGTCATCAAGTCTCCCCCAGAATCACCTAAAAGTGTAGCAGACGATCTTCAAAATGAATGACCTGTATATGAATTGGAATTTTCAAGTTGAAGTAAATTAGCCACTGCTTCAGGTACCTTATAAAACTGATTGCTACCCAAAACCTGATTGATACATTTTCCATTATGACATGCATAAAACAGGCGGCGATCCTTTGCTGCTGCTGGACGAAGAGCTATGTACATTCGGTAAAATTTAATATATTCTTCAGTAACTACAAATCGCTATCTACACCATTCTTTGTTTGCTTGAGTTTCACAATTGATAACGTTCCCGAATCTTCAATATCAACTAATGTTACCAGGCTGATTTCATAAATTGGACAAGCTCCTGCAATCCCAAATACAACAACAACCCTGGCCATTAAATAAACTTCATCTGGAGCATTATTTAAAAAGTAACTAATATGTGTACTCGTAAATATCGCAGCTTTCTTGGGCATGTTACCTTCCTCATTTTGTTTCAGAAATGTAATTAGTTTGAAATATTTTGAAATGTCTACATTATTATTGGATTGTAGGTGGGTGTTTCACACTGTGCAACATAATCACAGTTTTCGCTCAAATGATTTTCTTTTCCTTTAATTCAACCATGTTTTGATGAAAAATTCAGATGAGCACGTACAAAGTTGTGAATGTGCTGTCAACTATGGCAGATTATTCCCAGTTTTGATTCCCCTTTTTTACCATACGAAGGGGTGAAAGTCAAACTTTTAGAGTTTTGGGAGCAGCCAGGCGGAACATCGGATATTTTCGAAGAAACTATTGTCTTTCAATGACATGAATTGAAAAATTGTGGGGTTTTGTGAAGACGACACGAAATACAACTTCAGGGAAAATATTGAATGAATTATATGGTCCTTGAACTATTCGGTACAACAATCGAATCTGCTTGTGTTGAAATTATATTTTTTTCTGCCATGGACACAACTGCCGATGATGTACCTGGTCGCAAATCGGGTGTAGGTGTTATTTCAGCACTAACAAACGTTCTAAACTTTATCAGTTATTTCTGTCCTGTGTGCTACCGATTCATCAACATACCCTCCAGCGACCGTTGATGACTTCCAACCTCCATGTTTCTTCAATGTCATCAAGTCTCCCCCAGAATCACCTAAAAGTGTAGCAGACGATCTTCAAAATGAATGACCTGTATATGAATTGGAATTTTCAAGTTGAAGTAAATTAGCCACTGCTTCAGGTACCTTATAAAACTGATTGCTACCCAAAACCTGATTGATACATTTTCCATTATGACATGCATAAAACAGGCGGCGATCCTTTGCTGCTGCTGGACGAAGAGCTATGTACATTCGGTAAAATTTAATATATTCTTCAGTAACTACAAATCGCTATCTACACCATTCTTTGTTTGCTTGAGTTTCACAATTGATAACGTTCCCGAATCTTCAATATCAACTAATGTTACCAGGCTGATTTCATAAATTGGACAAGCTCCTGCAATCCCAAATACAACAACAACCCTGGCCATTAAATAAACTTCATCTGGAGCATTATTTAAAAAGTAACTAATATGTGTACTCGTAAATATCGCAGCTTTCTTGGGCATGTTACCTTCCTCATTTTGTTTCAGAAATGTAATTAGTTTGAAATATTTTGAAATGTCTACATTATTATTGGATTGTAGGTGGGTGTTTCACACTGTGCAACATAATCACAGTTTTCGCTCAAATGATTTTCTTTTCCTTTAATTCAACCATGTTTTGATGAAAAATTCAGATGAGCACGTACAAAGTTGTGAATGTGCTGTCAACTATGGCAGATTATTCCCAGTTTTGATTCCCCTTTTTTACCATACGAAGGGGTGAAAGTCAAACTTTTAGAGTTTTGGGAGCAGCCAGGCGGAACATCGGATATTTTCGAAGAAACTATTGTCTTTCAATGACATGAATTAAAAAATTGTGGGGTTTTGTGAAGACGACACGAAATACAACTTCAGGGAAAATAATAGGAAAGGAAGTAATGATGTTCACTCAAAATTGAACGAATTACTCGGCAGACAGCCTATTGGAATTGGATCTAGAGCCAACATAGTCCATAACGCAAAATCGAAACTGCCGCTGATTGTCTTCCTGTTGATTTTTAATGCATCATAATTTAATTTCACAAATTTACTAACTTGTGATGTACTGTTTGGAACCTTTGAAGTAGTAATGATTATTACTGTAGTTTTATCCCAACATCAAACCGTTGTTTTTAACTACTCGACACGTGTTTCAATCAACAAGTGATTATCTTCAAGAGGAAGATTAAAGTTTGATCTTCCTTTTGAAGATGATCACTTGGTCATTGTTTAGAGATTAATCTTCCTCTTGAAAATGATCACTTGGTGATTGAAACAGGTGTCGAGGCATCAAAAAGAGAAAGATTGAAGTTTAATCTTCCTCTTGAGGAAGATTAAAGTTTAATCTTCCTTCTGATGATAATCACTTGGTGTTTGATTAGAGATAACGATTTGGTGTTGGGATTAAACTTCAGTAATATTCATAGCGTTTGAGTAGAAGCTTTAAACGGATTTTGTGATAGTAAGGAGACAGAGTACCGCAAACATGCTGGGCTACAGTGAAACAAGATAGCTTGCATTGATGCGCGCGCTTGAGAGAGTTATAAAAATGTTTCAGACTATGAAAATCTATTTTCCGAGTATCGACAAATGCCCTGTTATTTAGTTTTTCGTATATCTCAGCTCAGAATTGTGGTTATATTTTTTGCATGCTCCGGCAGCGAACTTTCATGCAGCTGTGTTGAAAATCGAAGTGCAAAATATGTCGGCCATAGAGTCTGCCAAGGAAATTAATCGTCTCCGAGATAACCTGGCAAAAAAAAGAATACGATGTTCCTTCCTCTCATCATCCGTAATCTGATTGTAAAATTACAAAAAAAGCTGTTGTTACCCAGCAGAATGTAAAAACTGCGGCGGTTGAGTTTTATAAAACAAGTGAAGAATACTTGAAGCAGTGTTGCCAATTCAACACCGAACTAGAAGTGAACCGTTGGGTAGAATTATATCAATACGTTCTTACCAACATTCTACATTTGAAAAACTTTTCCACAGTTATTGAGTTCGTTATGTGTCTGTCTGTCGGAAGAGTTTTTCCATCAAATAAACAAAATATGGACGAGTGATAAAACACAGTTAAGTGTCGCAGTAATCAGAGTTATTTTCATTATGAAGATAAATATGAATGAATCATGTACTGAGTTCCACACTTATCTAAAAACAAGACCCGATATTTTGAAACAGATTTGTTTAGCCGACAAATACAAATATATGACTGAAAGTCACTCCACAACTGGGGCTCAGTAAGTTGTGCTTACTTGAATATTTTGTTTTTAGTGCTTTGATTATTTTGAGTTATTTTATCTTTCATGATGAAAACCTGTAATATACTAAACAAAAATTTTATTATGTAATTCTGTAAATGTCTTGCTCTGGAAAAAAAAATGGTCACGTTAAGTATGCAGTAACTAGACAGCATTTTGATTATAAGCCCGATATTGACATTTTCTATCTCAAGTTCAGGATGAATAGAGAAAGGGGTTAACATGAATGTGGTTTTAGTATCCAAAATTGCCTCTTATTGTTGCATTACCGTTGAAGAATATACGATTTCTTCCCGTAGAAACTTATTATCTCCAGCTTTCGAGTCGAATAAACCCCAATCTAGCTTGATGTCCCATGTGTAGGCATAACAGGAACTTATAAGTGAAGCTGTTATCCATGAATAGAAGAACAAATTTTCAAACTGACTTGGCAAATCATCTGAAACAAAAAAAATTAAGTAAAGCGCTCAGCTGCTTCAAAACTGAGTACTGTTAATAAGCGACTTCAGGCACTTGATAAATTCATTTGATAATAGTGCTCTAGTAGTCCCGTCACGTATGCAAAAAAAAAGAAGTCAACTTCGGAGTCAGAGAAAATAAGCTGGAAACTTGTATACACTTCCATTTCGGTGCTCTGAAAGTCTCATGAAATCTCGAGTCTGAGTCGGAAGTTATTCAAGGTCAAAGTCACAAAAATCAGGTTTTCACGATTATCTCGGTTTCTATAGCTCCAATGATGTCAATATTCATAATGAAAATTGAATAACATGAAATTTGCGACACTAGTGGCATGAGAAAAACCACTAAAGCCACATTATATGATGATATGACACCTGTTGATATCAAACTTGGTGAAAATATTGTGACCTATATCATCGATGGTGAATTTCTTCTGCATCGCGTCGTATGGAGTGAAAGCGATACTTTTTCCGTAGTTCTGGATGAATGCGTCAAAAATTCATAAAGACATTACGGTTCAAAAACTGTTGCAGTATTTAACGGATACACAGACTAAACTAAAAACATAGAAGCAATAGAACAACTAGGAAGAACAGTTACTCTCTCAAAATTTTATGTAGCTCGTTTCGACGAAATAATGACTGTGCCAATTAGTCAAGTCGTTCACAAATCGATCTAATAAAAAACTTATTGATATAGTCATTGAGAAGTTAAAGAGTGTGAATATTGTAACAAAAAAACCAAGAAATGATGCTGTTGTACTCATCATCATTGGAGTAAACATAGATTTGTTCGTTATTTCAATTGGGCGCACTCAACCACTCCAAGAAGAATTTATTATCAAAGAAATTGGAAGCGGAAATGTCAAAGCACATATCTATTCATTAAGAAACGTTACAGTTTTCTGAATAAATGAACTTTAAATGTTCAAGCCCGTCTCGAATATACCTACACAGTAGGTTGAATGGACTGACGCCTATCAGAAAACAACTACTCCACTAGCTGAGCACGAACGGCATTGGATTATATCCGACAGATGTACGTCAGTGCAGGAATCTTCACAGAAAATTTCTTGCATATGAAATTGGCAATACAACTGAAAGAGTCGACCTTCAATTTTGGAACGGGCACACGTGCAGAGCAGTTTTGGACTCTTTCGTTACTCGTTAGTGCAAGATAGTGACCATCATGGACCTAAAGTCAATGATACTCCATAATTGAAAATCTAAATTCTATCAGAGTATTTCATTCCTCGTTTTATGTTGGACCGAACAACAAAATTTCACTCCATCTAGTGGACGAGGTACTAACCAACTGCATATCCGAAATTTTCCCGATTCCTCTAAATAAGGAAAAAAAACTTTCTTATTAGTCAGTGGGCCATGCTTGAAGACGGACAGTAAACAAATCTAAAGAAATGAAATTTAAATGTTCAAGCCCGTCTCGAATATACCTACACAGTAGGTTGAATGGACTGACGCCTATCAGAAAACAACTACTCCACTAGCTGAGCACGAACGGCATTGGATTATATCCGACAGGAGTCAGTGCAGGAATCTTCACAGAAAATTTCCTGCATATGCAATTGGCAATACAACTGAAAGAGTCGACCTCCAATTTTGGAACGGGCACACTTGCAGACCGGTTTCTGGCTCCTTAGCCACTCGTCAGTGCAAGATACTGACCATCAATTATGTAATATTATTGACTTTAGGACGATGATGGAACACCGTTCGTGGTATTAGCCAGTGGAGTAGTTGTTTTCTAATAGTAGTCAGTCCACTCAACCTACTGTGTGGGTATATTGAGACGGGCTTGAACATTTAAAGTTCATTTCTTCAGGTTTGTTTACTGCCCGTCTTCAAGCATAGCCCTGACAAGTAGCTAAGGAGCCCGAAACCGGTCTGCAAGTGTGTCGGTTCCCAGGAATGGAGTTGGGTGCTGCAGATTCAATTCCTGGAGCCAACAATAACAACAATCAGCTGCTGAGAATTACCCCAAACACTATTTTGTAATTGTAATAGATGTTGTATACGTTGTGGGTGCAGAAAATATATATTGCAATGCACTCCAGTTTAAGGTCACTGCAACTTGGTACATTTGATTCCACCAAGAGCGATACATATCAGAAATACGCGCTAGACTGTGGCTGCTTATCATTTTCAGGTTCAACTCAGTACACCTCGAACTTCACTGTTTGGGAGCTATTTCATCTAAAGAGCTGCGTTTATGTGGAATGAACGTCCTGAGAACGTTTTCCCAAATGGATTTAATCTTCAGCGATCCAAATCCAATGTGAATCGCTACTTTCGCACAGGCACCGCTCTGAGAGCACCTTAAGGATTTTCCTGTACCTTTTATGTTTTGCCCTTAAAAAAAATTGTTTCCCAAATTATATTTCCTGGATAGATAATATAATTGGAAATAATGTCAGGTTAAGATTTTAGTTTCTTTATTTAAAAATATTTCTATCTACTGAAATATACAGAGTTGATTTTTGTTTACAAAACGCATATCAAATTCGATATTTATGCTACCAGTTCATTAACCAGTATTACAATCATAACATTTCATCTTAATGTACAATGAATTGAATATACTCACCAGCATAAATTTTATTTAACGTCGAAAAAGTCACAACAAAGAAGGATGTTGCATATTTTGCCGCATTCGCTATATGTGGAAAAACTTCTTTCGTGTCTCTGTATCGACGCAAACATTGTGAAAATCTGAACCATGGTGGAAGACAGGCAACGAACGCCCTAACGCCAAGGTAGTTTTCCACGCAATATTTTGCATCTGTAACATTTTGACTAAAAGAATAAGGTAAATTATTTGTTTGAACATGAATATGGTGAAATGATAATAATGGTATATATCGGTTTTCTGGTAAACAGATTTAACTAGATGTGATGACACGTATCATGTATCAGGTGTTTTTATTTTCATTAAAGCATAACTGTTACGATTATATTGTTGTTACTACCAAACTCAAAAATCCACTTTTAATACCTAGTGAGGCACTCGACACTTTTTATTTTCCAAAACGACAGGATCTAAAGTACAGATGTGTATTCCAATAAACATTATATCATGACTGAACAAGAACGTAGTTGACAACACACCAAAAAAATAAATTCGGACTATTTTTTGAGTTCATAACCTTTCACAATCCTTAAAAAGCTGAATCAACAAGGCATAATGCATTTTAGTGAAGTGTAATAAACGGTAAACTGGAAAAATTCACCCTGAAAAGTTACGGTGTTGAAAAAAAAACCTTTATTACACTTCAACAGATTCTTCATTGACTCAACCTCGTTTATGTTTCATATTGTGGGAGGTTATTAGCCCAAAAATGTCTTTCAGAAAAATTTACAAAGGAGGGAATAATTTCCAACAATGAGTTTATTTCCAAGCTCATTGCTTTCTTTGTTCCTTTGTAAAATTCCCAAAATCTCTTATGGAAAGCTGAAGAAGTGGAAAATCAAAAATATTTTCTCCAGGTACAACAAATCAATTTACAAACAAATTACTGTATATCTACTCAAATTACTTTATATGCTCGGAAAGTTTGCTGTGATGGCGTAATGTCTTCCCGATAATATTCAAACAATACAAACATTGTCAATTATTGCATTATATTGAAAAAAAATCAGAACGAATACTTTCCAGTTCATCTCAACAAATCATATCAAGGATATAATGTTTGATATTGAAGACCATATCACTCGAAATCTGTGAAAATATTTTTTATACCTTGATGAAACTCATCTCTATGTGAATGAATGTACACGAATTCGCCATACATTTTCATCCTGTTAGGCATTCTGTATTGTAGTTGATTTTTTTATTAAAAAAAAAGAACAACACACACTGCTAACTGAAGCCTTCACCTGAAACCTTACGTTCACATAAAAAATAACGAAGGAGAAATATCATTAAAATAACGATATTCAATATAATTTCATGGAAATCATATGCTATTCAAATAATAATCACACAGATATAAATTCAACATATTTTCGACAACTATATGCAGATTTTCTGTCCTTTGGATTTAGAAAACACAATTTTCTCAATATTTTTCTGTTGTGTGGAATAACTGCAACTATAGTATCAACATAAAATATTTCCTGTATTTTTTTCTGACTTCTATTATCAGTTTGTTAGTTGCCATATACAATTCTGATGGTTTCTGATTAACAAATTTCAATTTCTTGTGATGCACTGTTTGGAATCTTTGGTGTAGTAATGAATATTACTGAAGTTTTTTCCCATCATCAGATCGTTATTTTAACACATCGACACGTGTTTCGATCACCAAGTGATCATCTTCAAGAGGAATTTCAATTCTAGTCGCTCATGGATCATTCCCTTTAATTTTTTTCAAAGTAAATATCCCACTCGATATACCAACTGGCGTTTGGTGTAACCCTTTGTGGTGTTCAATGAATAGTAATACCGTATCTACAGTTATCCAGAAGTGATTCTAATCTATCTATTTTCATAATTTCTTTCAGTTTTTACTGGACCCCTTCCTACTTGGTATGAGCATTTACTCTGTTTCATTCTCATTATACGTTAGCCACATCAAATGCTTCCATCCTCTATATATGAATCATACTTGTTCACACCTTCTGTCCATTACATCCCAGTCAAGAGACTCCATACAGTGGCCTGACAGATTCGCAGTTCAATAGTATCTATCGTGTTTCAACTTCACTTTGAACCAGTTTCACTAGTTTCAGCCTCGAAATATTTTATGTTATCAGTTGGAACACGCTTTGCCATTCCCAATTTGATAGTTTCTCCTGACTGGGATTTTCCTGTCTTCTTCCGATCAATGTCTGTTGAACCAATTTCTGTTAAAAATAATTTTCACTGTGATCCAGTTCCTGGTTGAGACTTTCAACGTGTTGCACTCATTGTCAGAACTCAGATTGTTAAAATGTTCACTCAATTATTAGTTTTCTAGAAAGGCGTCTAATTCTACATGATCATGGTTTCACAATATGAAGGTATCGTCAACGTATCTATGGACAGTAAAAGTGACGATATAATTGACAGTCCCTAAAAATGTATACTTCAGCTGAAAATAGTACCTAGTAATTTTCCTCTGAATTCAAGGTTCCCCTCTTCAGATAGGAACAATTGTAAAGAACTGGACGATACTTGTAAATCCATAATAATAATAACTGACTCAATTATTTGCAAGATCTCCACAGAAACCTTGACATGTATTATGCCAGACAATTACTTTATTCACTCATAATTCGCAACCGTTTCATAATTTCCGAAATTAGGTACTCAGAACCTGTAGTTCAATCTAGTATTCAAGTAATTGAATACTACAACTACCTGAAAGATCAGATATAATATAACTGAGTTCTGAACTATATCCATCCAACAAACAAAGTAACCCCAGCAAAGATAAATGCTTGATCGCATATTTGCATCTATTGAGTAAAAAAGAAGCCTACTCACGCTGGTCACAATCAGATTCAACTGCAATCCGCTGGTGTACATATATGGTATTTTAAATATTGAAATGTCAAGTATTGATACGGTTGGAAAACTGCTAATTTGTGTTCTTACACTCCACCTGAAAAAAATTGCAACACCCAGCCGCATAATTTGAAAAAAATTGGTCGTTTCTTAGTGCGACTCGGGACAAGCAGACATGTCTGCGAGATCACACTGTTCATGATTATGTTTTGGAGAACTCTGTTGATTAGGTGGACAGATTATAGTGAAGACAACAAAAAGTTCTTAGGCTATCATAAAAAAAAAAAATTTAATTTTTATTTTAATTTTTTTTAATTCAATATAGTTGACTCTGAGGGCGATACAATGATTATAGCGGTCATAGAATTTGTCGATACCATTTTAATACTGCAGCCCTAAAATGGTCTCTGTAGTTTCGACGTTTACCTTTTCATCGGCACATTGTTTCCGTGAGAATTTTCTGGGGGCCAGATCTAGGGAATACGGTGGATGCAGAAGCAATTCGAAGCCAAGTGATGCTATCTCGTCATCATTTTCATCGATTTGAGGCACGGTGCCTTGTCTTGATGGAACATCACTTTCTTTTTCTTCAAATGGGGCTTTCATTTCGCGATTTGTAACTCTATGCAGTAGTCGCTGTTGATGGTTTTTTTTCAAGGTAGTCAATGAATACTCTACTATGCGCATCCCAAAATATTGATACTGTAATGAATCTGAAGTTGCTCCTGACCGATATGTCGGTCAGCGAACAAACACATGACATCACCTCAAGAGGAATGCAGTCGGCAACTGCCGGTTAAACTTTAGTTGAGTACCGAAACGACTAAAGAATTCTAGAACGATCGTTACCGATATATAATGCCGGCTTCTCGTCCCAAGAGGGCAGTTGAGTCCAGAAAGTGAATCGAACGGTTGTTTATAAATTATTTTGTGATAGTGAAATATTGTTAGGAATAAATTTGTTCAAGACAGTAAATTCTTTGATTTGTTACAACCTTGCCAGCCGCCTGTTGCGTCTTTTCACGCTTTGGAATCGTTTCCACACGTTCAGTCCACTCAGATGAGGATCATTTCGATTCTGGTGTGTATTAATGAAGCCATGTATCATTCATTTTTTATGGTGAAACAGTTACAAACACTGCTCAGAATCATCAATTTTTTGTTGTTGTTTTTGATGTATTGTGAGCTCGCAAGGCACCCACATTCCTTTAACATGTTTAGAGCCTTCGCTATCTCAATATACCTCACTTTGTGAGGTCGTCCAAGATTAATCCGTGTAATTTTTGATACTCTCGTTGTTAACAGCCTCGTAGAATTATACTATCACATAGTTATTCATCCTAAAGTGAAATTTTCTGGTGATCTGGTGAGGAAATATTGGGCAAAGGTAAGTAATTCGAAACTTTTTGGTCGTTCTAAAAATACCTATAGTAAATTTTCGAATTTTTCTTCCCAAAAAACAGTTTTAACATCATTATTGAATTTCTTTTTCAGTCGTTTCAGGGATTTTAAATCATTTTATTTAGTAATAACATGTATTTTAGAACTATCCAAGTATACGTGTTAGGAATCACACGTTGAAAGGTAAGACCTCGTTAGTTCTTAGCTCGCACAAGTTTCTCAACTTCTGAGAGTTGTTGTTCGTATGGAGGCGACAGCTGATTAACGGAATAAACAGATTTTTTTCAAACAGCTCATATACTCAATTTTTTGTTTTCTATATTCAAACATAATCATGAAATACAAATCGATTCAGAGAATTAGGTTTATAAAAGAAAGAAACAAGAGAAAAAAATTACCTCAATGATGCTCCTTCGTTCCCTCCTGTTCATAAAAGAGGAAATATGCTCACTCAAAAGCGATTTGGGTGAAATTGGGGACACGTGTGAATCATTGTATTCATGCCACATACCGCTATATGGGTGTCTGCAATATGCTGTATAATACCCGTTGTAAGTAGTGTGATTTGAAAGTGCATATAGAAATAATTGCTCATATATATTCCTTCTGAAGAAAAGACAATGGCAACATTTAATTTGCTTCTGAATCTTTCCGTTGTAGACAATTTTTCAAATGAATTACTAAAATACGGGGAAACTCATACATTGATAGGAACTTTGTACATTTTCTTCTTTCCTTGCACCTCAAACACATTGGTTTTTCATCTCCATCCAGAGTTGCTTCCATTTTGAAGGAATCCAAGCAATGTGGCAAACTCAATCGGTCAGTTCTTTGTGGTATGGGGAGAGAGAAATCCCTGAACGGTTACTGATGAGTGTCCACCGTGTGTGCACTTCATAGTAGATTTTAATCGACCAACGAAATTGTCCACAATCTTAGAGTTGTTCATATTCAAATATCTCAGTCAGGACTCTTGTGCTTTTTCGCTGTCGCTAAATTTTTCGTCAATCTCCATTAAGATCGGTTCAGGTTACTCAATAATTCTGTTGAGGTCCTCATGTAAACCTTCTAAAACATATCGAAGGAATTCGTGGGCATCTTGATGGGCAGAACCCATGAATCGAGGGGCAAATCTTTGAATCTGACTTTTAAAGTAGAATTGTGTTTATTACTCTATCAGATGAATCTCCTGACCACAATTCCTTGATAACTTCTGCGAACGCTTTGATTAAAACAACTTTCATACTAGAAACTAGTATTGATATCTTCCATGTATGTACCCTTTTTTTATATATTCCAGCATCCATATCATGTTTGATAAACACTGTATTTAATGCACTTTTTTGTTTATTTTAGAATTTGACTTCATTTCACTCAGTACCGTGTATTATACTTTTTTTCTTATTAGTCAGTTCGATTCAACCTCTCATGGCTTATGCAAAGATAATTCCCTCTTTTGCCTGAAAGAGTTCTGAATAATGATGATAATTACTATTATTTAATTATATGTTACGTACATTTTCTATACTGAAATTGAAAATTCCGAAAGTACAACCAGAAAATGTGTTGAAAAATTCTTGACTGATCACAAACGAATAATCATTGAATAACATTTGTGTTGGAAACATGTAATAATGTCATAGATAACAATGACAGTGAGTATTACTAGAGTTTTATCCCAACACCAAACCACCGGTATTTCAACACCTCAACACGTGTTTCGATCACCAACGAAACATCTTCAAGAAGAATATTGAAATTCTTCTTGAAGACAATCACGTGGTGATCGAAACACGTGTCGAAGTGTTAAAATAACGATTTGATTATGGAAAAAAACTTCAATAATATTCATTACTACACCAAAGGTTCCAAACAGTGCATCACAAGTAACCAATAACAGGAATAAAAACATAAAATAATTACTGTATGTTATTCTCTCACTGAAATCATAATACGAAAAATATATGAATACAAACCTTCAGCCACAGACCAGCTCGGATTTGTGAAATAAAAACAAACAAAGTATTGCATATCAGTGAATAGCGTCACTAAACTGTTTAGTTGATCAGCTACCCAGAAGTCAGCAAATGACACATAGAAAAAAGGTGCCATAAATGCCTTTCCCTGCAAAAATGAAAAATGATAACGAACCTTCTATTACAACCAATATCAACTCACTATCACTTTGAGCGCCCAGAACCGTGCCTCATACATGAAAGTTTTCGTAGGATTGAATATAAATGCGAGCATAATAATCAAGAGAATTAATGGATTCACATATGCAGGTATTCCCAATTGATTGCTGAACAGAAATGATAATACTGATATCGACCATATTACTCCAAATATAGCTGCCATTTCGATAATATGTTGTTCAGAAAGATGATTTCTAGGATCCATTTCGAATATCAGTACATGATTGACTCCGGAAGATCTCCAGCCATATATATTGATTCCCCATAAAAATAAAAATTCTATAATTAAAAATGGTCCTCTGTATAAGCGTATCACTATTATCCAGTCATCTCTATCTTTGAACATTCCTGAAAAAATAAAAAGAGGATTGGAAGAGAATGGTGATAGTTATCTAGAGAATTTTACTTATGACAAACATACCAAAATTATACATGAATATCATATGAAGTGTATGCAATGTATATACTATTACGTTTTTAAGCATGTAAAATCAATGAATGCTCGTTTTTTATGATACTGTCGCATGAAATCTTTTTTCAGATATCTGATGGAATTGGCCGATACTTGATGAAAATCCACAACGTTTCTGTGACGCTGTTTCCGGTTTTGAAAAAGGAAATATAAGAAAAAATGCATAATGGCGCTCCTAGGATCAAAATACTGCGGAGGTAAAGTAGCTCCCCAATCGGAGCTATGGATGCTATGGCTTGTCGGATCATTTCTGTGTATGGCTGCTCATTGTTTTGTGGTTCAACTCAGTACACCTTGAACTTCACTGTTCCTTCTTCCTCCTTCACCTAGAAAACTGCTTTTATGATAAATAAACTGCCTGAAAACGTTATTCCAAATAGATTTGATATCCAGCGATTCAAACTCAATGTGAATCGCTACTTTCGCACAGGCACCGCTCTTAGATCACTTTAAGGATTTTTCTGTAGTGCTTGTGTTTTTTCCTTTGAAACAACATAATCAAAATCTCACAATAAAGTGTTACTTGAAAATTTTTTTTACAATTATGTTACAAAGTAGATTTGTATCACGAAGGAAGAGTGAGGTCTACAAGGAAGAAGACTCATTTTTGAATTACAGTCAAGTGACATACAGACAGAGGATCTTTATCTGGTGTCATTTATGAACCTAGTAGTAAAAAAACAGTTATGTCGTTTTCCAAATATGTTCATGAAAAAGTTCATGAATTTAACAAAATATTTACAAATAATCAGCGTGTGTATCCATGATTTTTATCTATATAAATGCTGAGGAAAAATCAGAAATCCTGATATTGCATACGATTTGGCAGATATTTTACTGTATCGCTTTCATATTAATGAAAAAGGGCAAATATTGAAATTAACAATTCTATCGAAACCTCAAAGAAATCTAAAAACTCATAATCATGTCCAACTGAATTGTACCAAGAGATAAAAAAAATTATAACCGTATGTAATGACATCAATATAATCTAAGAAGAAACGTTTACAGTATATTGAAAACGATTGCTGTCACATCACCCAAGACCAGATGATGAAATTTCAAATGAAATTTTCCAACATGCGTGATAATCATAACGTTTTTCATAAATAATTAAGGTTGGAAAATACATCATGATTATTCAGGGTGTGAGCAGAAGAAGTGATTCATGTTCCATCCAATATTCGCGGGGGTAAGAGCTCTACGCTTTGCCAATTCACTCAAAAAACAGAGGCATGGATTGCCTGAATCCCAGTAGGGCAGATATCAGCAACAAAAAAAGCACATACTTTTCATCAATAATTAGAAACGAAAATTCTCAAAATGTATATGTCAACCTTAACAGAAAACAAAAATTCTTGTGTCATCCACTGATTTCATCTGTGTGTCATTTTCCAGTCTCATACTCAACTCTCCGGCCCATTTTTAATCGTCCTTTTTCATGTTTTACTCCGACGCCAACATGAACCTTTATAATTTCTCCTCCTCTCTAATATCCCTTGCCTCAGGAGGAGCAATCTCCTGTATGTCCACTGTTTCTCCAATGGAAAGTATTCTCCATCCGTCCACCGAATCCTATCTATAATACCTCTCAGTGGTAGAGAATTGATGTTCATGAATAGAACTGGGGTAGCTGTTGGGTCCGTCCGATAAATTCCGCTAGGTACAAGTAGGAGTAGTCTCTGCGGACATCACTTGCTCTATTTCCCCAAATATGAACTCTACATGAAGCTACAAATTCGGCTAGTCGCTCATGGATTATTCCCCCTCACTCTCTTCAAAGTATTTATCACACTCGATATACCAACTGGCGTTTGGTGTAACCCTTTGTGGTGTTCGATGAATAGTAATACCGTATCTACGGTTATCCAGAAGTGATTCGAATTTATCTTTTTCATAATTTCTTTCAGTTTTTATTGGACCCCTTCATATTTGGTATGAGCATTTACTCTGTTTCATTCTCATTATACCTCAGCCACATCAAATGCTTCCATCCTTTATATATGAATCATACTTGTTCACACCTTCTTCCAACCTCTTTCAGTATACACCCCTAGACGAGAATATGGTGGACCGCAATAGCGCTAAATACGCTATCTAAATGCCAATTTCCAGTTTCACATTCTTATTTTGTCGAACAATTCATCCATCACCAACTGTCAAAGTGTCAGCCTCACTAGAGCCTTACGAACAATCCTGGTCTGGTGTTTCGGAGATACTGTCACCGATACCCAAGAAACGCTAAGAATTTAGATGCTTAATTATAATAAATATTTTATTTGACGGTGTACTGCTATCCATGGAAGTTTAAATCCAGGAAGCGAAAATTTCTAAGTCCAAAAGTCTAAGTCTAAGTCTTCACTTGGCCGTAGCGGCTGGTCGAGTGCAGTATTATCTCGAAGGGAAGTCTAGTTTTGACTTCTGTTATAGTTTAGTTGAGACTTGTGCAGTCTTTGACTTCAGTTATAGTCTACTTAAGACTTGAGTAGTCTTTTTATACTTCAGTTATAGTTCATTTTGAGACTTTAGTAGTCTCGCAGTTAGTGAGCACGTAGTCGTACTCGTGGTCTAATTCAGTAGAATTAGACTCGTGGTCTATTCAGTAGAATAACAAAGTTAAACTAGAAGCATCCAGTTTCTCGAAAGCTACCAGACTGTAAGCGTGTTGGAGGGCGAAAGGCAAGAAACTAGTAGCGATTTTGGGCATCAACGTAGATTCAAAACCGCAGTAAGTTTGCACAGAGCTATTGTTTTCAAGTGTCTGGGAAGTAATTCCGAAATGAATTCGTAATGACACACTGAGATCAGTGATACCTTAGCTTTTATCAAACCTAACAAAAAAATCAGAGCTTTTCAGCTCTAAAAATTGAATTCGAGTCGCTGTGCGACAACAAAGACTTTCGGGTCCAACGAGGAAGATCCCAGGAAGAGGCTTCCGTCGCCGTATTCACTATACCCATAGCGAATACAGCCGGAAGTACGCCAACCCGCATTGTTTATAAGAGCTTCCACATGGGACTCTTATTGCACTAACAATCGGCGGCTTTAAACGCCCTTGTGTTCCCGGGAACTCAGTATCCTCGTGTATAGGAAAAGTTAGGCAGGTAAAGTCGCGGTTGTGTTTCTCCTAGATAGGGCTCGTAGGGAAACTTCTAGTCCGGTCCTAGCGGCCAACGTGGAGGCTAGTCGTACCCTCGCGGTTTTTATTTTAGCTTAGCTCACTCCTAGGGATTAAATAATAAATCGAGTTTTTTTTTTATTGAAAATAATATACTCGCGATAAGTAGATTTCGCGAAAGAGATCCTCCGGAAGCCAAGGCGGCTACCGGCTCTGGTCTTTTATGCGATGCTCGTCGTCGACGGAAGGACCTACTTGCCTGGCCGAGCATGAAAAATCGACAACCGTGAGAAAATGAACAGCGATTTTCATCTTCAAACAACGCCGAGTCGTCTACAATACCTCTAAAGCTCTCTTCTCCTCTGCCAAGAAAATCACACACAGTGTTTCAACGTTTTCTGACATACCCATTTTCCCATCCTCGTTTCTATCGCTGATGCGCATGTCACCTGTCTTTCTTGTTTTCGTTCATCCAGTTTCGAAACAGTCATTATTATTTATATTTCCGCTCTCAAACTGAATCGGATGGGCAAGAATTTTTCACAACTTTCAGACTATTCCTGCACTACATCATTAGGAATCATGTACAATGTCCATTATATCCCAGTCAAGGGACTCCATACAGTGGCCTGACTGACAGATTCGCAGTTCAATAGTATCTATCCTGTTTTAACTTCACTTTGAACTAGTTTCACTAGTTTCAGCCTCGAAATATTTTATGTTATTAGTTGGAACATGCTTTGCCATTCCCAATTTGATAGTTTCTCATGACTGGGATTTTTCTGTCTTCTTCTGATCAATGTCTGTTGAACCAATTTCCGTTAAAAATCATCTTTGCTGTGACTTCGTTCTTGGTTGAGACTTTCAACATGTTGCATCCATTGTCTGGACTCAGATTGTTGAAATGTTCACTCAATTATTAGTTTTCTAGAAAGTCGTCTACTTCTACATGTTCATAGTTTCATAATGTGAAGGTATCGTCAACGTATCTATGGACGGTAAAAGTGACGATATAATTGACAGTCCCTAAAAATGTATCCCTTAGCTTAAGATAGTAACTACTGATTTTCCTCTGAATTCCAGGTTCCCCTCTTCAGATAGGAAAAATTGTATAGAACTGGACGACACTTATAAATCCATAATAATATCCACTCATAGTTCACAACCATTTCATACTTTCCAAAAATAGGTACTCAGTACTTGAAGTTCAATCTGGTAATTGATTACTACAACTACCTGAAAGATCAGATATAATTCATAATTCACTGTGTTCTGAACTATACTCATCCAACAAATAAAGTAACCCAAACAAAGATGAATGCGTGATCAATGCATGATCACCACGCACATTTTCATGTATTGGTTAAAACAAACAAGCCTTCTGACGCTGGCCAATCAGATGCAACTGTAATCGGCTAGCGAAATTCATTGTTACAGTGTCGGAGTAATCAGTTACGTTTTAACGTCTGTTGTGTGTACATATATGGTATTTTAAATATTTGAATGTCAAGTTCTGATACAACTGAAGAAACTGCTAACTTGTGTTCTTACAATACCCAGGTGCATATTATTTGAAAAAAAAGGTCGTTCCTTAGTGCGACTCTGGAGAAGCAGCCTGGTTGGCTAGGTGGACAGAGTAAAGTAAAGACAATTAACGAAAAGTCCGTACGCTAACAAAAATGTTCTAATAAAATGTTATTTTCAATTCAGTATAATTGACTTTGAGGGCGATACAATGATTATAATGGTCATACAATTCTGTGATATCATTTTAATATTTTAACCTCAAGATAGCCTCTTAAGCCTCAAAACAGACCCAAGTTTCGGCGTTTACCCTTTCATCGGCACTACATTTACGCCGCGAGCATTCGCTTGTGGGCAGATCTAGGGAATACGGTGGATGCGGAAGCAATTAGAATTCAACTAAAGCAATTCCACCATCGTTTTCAACGATTTGAGGCACGGTGCATTGTTTTGATGGAACGTCACTTCCTTTTTCTTCAAATGTGGCCTTTTTTCCGCAATTTCGTCCTTCAAATGCTCCAATAACTCAATGTAGTAGTCGCTGTTGATGTTTATTTTTTCAAGATACTTAATGAATACTATACCATGCGCATTCCAAAATATTGATACTGTAACGAATCTGAAACCGCCCCGGACCGATATGTCGACCAGCGAACAAACACATGACATCACCGCAACAGGAATGCAATCGGCAACTACCGGTTAAATTTTAGTTGAGTACCGAAACGATGTGAGTTACTTAACCTACTCACCTGATAAAATTACCGATATGAGTAACACAATAAGAGCCCCAGAGAAGAGTCCGACTTTGAACGTGGTCCATGGACTTTGTTGTTCTCCGAGAGGGGGGACTCTCAATCTCTTCATTGCACGTTGACGATCACCCCCTTCTAGTTCCTGAGTGACAGCAGTCTCTGTTTCACGAATTAATCGATCTATGTCTTTATTCGTGAAGAAAAAGGATCCTTCCACGTATTCCATCCTCCATCTTGCTCCGTAGTCGACAGATAAAAGCTTCATGAAACAAAATGAGTGACGTGATACATGTGTGGACGAATTAAAAAAAAACATCTCCAGAACAGAAACGTTATCGAATTTATCTGCACAAGTTCCATTCAAAGCAACGAAAAATGAGTATTCAGAAAAAAAATTAAAATTGTTATTGATGTATGTATTCCATTTTTGTTTGTTTTACAATTAGAATTAATGAACCATTTGTTCTTACCTTATCATGTTTTTTCAGAATTTTCCTGAATCCTGTGAAATTAAGATTCTGGTAATTTTGTAATAGTATCAGACTCAAATAAAATTCGCTAAATGCCAACTTAATTTCTTGTATTTTACGTGCAGGTACATTCTTTTTTTGAAGAAAACTTTTTCTAACAGAACTTCTCTTTCCTCCAAATCCCACTTCTTGTGTTTCGGTCAGTTCGTTTTTCAAACTTGCATATTTTCTTGTTGCTTCTGCCAACTTTTCTGTGAACATTGAAGATAATTTTGCACTTTCTAACATTCCAAAAATGAATCCAAAAAATATATCAATATATATTCTCTTGAAATTGAACATATTGAGAACAAAGCCAGTGACAAGACTTGGGGTTCAGGTAGATTACGACCTCGTCTTCGAGTTCTGTAACTTTAGTGTCAATTGGTTATCGACGAGCTCTATCCAGATATGAATTAGTCTCATTTTCAAGGCTGCAAAATGGTTCGATATTTCGAGAAGGACCGTTAGGCATTTCTTCATCGGAAAAGTGGATAGATTTCAAGTTTCATCCAAACGTGGACTGCGATTCCAAGAATTGCATTTACCGGATACCCTGCGAGTGCGGAGAATCATACAACGGTGAAACTAAGAGGCCATTGAAAGTTCGCATTGCTGAGCAAGAAAAACACACACAGCGGGGAGAAACTAGCAATTCCGGAATAGCAGAGCATGTTTGGACTCATCAACATAACATCAAGTGGGCTCAAGCTGAAATTATCCACAGTGAGTAACACTGGTTTAGGGGAAAATTCAAAGAAGCCGCGTATATGTTATCCAACAACGCATTTAGCCAAGCTAGCGTAAAGATACTTAACATACGGAAACCTGCAATCAAGCGGAAAACGACCAACTCCCGCCAAACAGTCATCTCCCGCTTAAACCAATGGAGCGGAGAGAGAAAGAGGGGATAGGTGAAAGCACTCGAATGACCTATAAATAGTCAAATTTCGAAGAAATAAGTCCAGTTATCACCCGAAGACGATTGTGGATACTAACAATCGAAACGTCGTGACATAACTTGGTTTGGAATGTTTTAATTTTCAATTTACCTTTCTTGATGATAATATTTTTTAATTTTCACCCTGCATTGATATTTCCATTTTTTTATTTTTTGGTTGTTGCTTATATGGTATTTCTTTGTAATTTCAGTTTTTTCTTCAATAAATTTGTTATTATTCGGTTAATCATTTCAATTTTTTACTTTCAGGGATTTCAAATCAATTTATCAGACAATGGAAGTCCGAACTGATGAAATTCAAGTTTCATGATTTTTTGAATGATACTGTATGAAAGTCCATGAACTTTAAATTAAGTAGCCATTCAATAAAATAATACTTCGCATACTCAGCTACGAAGTTACGTATGTTGTAATAATTTCATGGATTGTCTCCGTGTTTTCAATTTTGGAAAAATTACCAGCACAGAAATAAATTAATCAAATGATGGATGAAACAGTTTTTTTAGAAATTGGAGTTTTCAGTATATCCTCCTTTAAGCTCTATACATTTTTCATAATTTCGTCTCAAATTCTGGCGGGACTTTCTCAATCGGCCTGGTGTTATTTCACCACATTTTCGCCACTTTTATCTTTTTCTATAAACACTTTCTTTCAGATATCCACACAGAAAAAATCTAATGGAGTCAGTTCTGGTGATTGAGGGGGTCAAAAAATCTGTTCCTTCCATGCAATTTTTCATCTGGATATTACTGCACATCAATCACATTGTGAATGGATGCACCGTCTAGATGAAATAAAATATTTCTGCGTCCTTCAACGCTTAGTTCTTCCATGAAATCCAAGAATTTCGTTATCAAAAAATTAAAATTATAAAATCGTTCACCGTTTAGTGTGTTTTTTTAAAAAAACATTCGATCTATTATACGTTTTTTGAATATTTCTATCCAGACATTGATTTTTTGTGAATATTGTCTTTTTGCACTTATCATCTAGTGTGGATTCTCTCCTGCCCAGTACCTGGAATTCTGAGTGGACACTGTTCCGTTAGATGTCGCCTCATCGGTAAAGAGAATTGCCCAGAAAGGTATTATCATTCAAATATTCACCTTGCCAGAATAAACAGAATTCCAACCTTCGTTCCTCATCGCCTCTTTCTAACGTGCGCATAATTTTCGGTTTGAAGCAAATAACTGAATTTTTCTCCAAGCGTGTACGTATTTTAGATATACTAACGTGTAAATCTCGTGAAATCTGTCGCAAGCTATTTTTGGGTACATGTGTTTCATTTACTCTTCCTGTTCTATTGAATAACGTATTGAACCTGGATGGTGAATTGGTTCACGATATGGATGTCTTCTGTTAAATTCTTCCGCGTTGATCGAGCATTATTACCAACTAAAACTGAACCCACAATCTCAATTCTCTCGACTAAGTTGATATTTGCTATTTTCAAAAGTCGCAAAACCCTTTTATAACAACTATCTTCACCAAATGTTCGTAGAAGGCATTGAGGATACCTGAGTATAAAAATTATAACAATTATGAAAAACAGAGCTTGTCTTATTGATCTAATAATATCAATATGCTGTATTAAATGAAATCATGAAAATTTTGCCAAATCTGTCACCGGGTTGGGACGAATGTTTAAAAAAGTATATAAAGGACTATTTTCACAATCGTTGATTGACTATTTGTTATACAAAAAAATCAAACAATATGGATAAAACATTTTCAATTTGTTTGATGAAACTTCTTATTTGAATAGCTCATATGTTTATCATTTCAATGGCTACATTGTCTTCCTACAGTTCGTTTTACAGGGTCAGTCAAATTATCAAGAATTTGCGAATTTGTTATCATATAACAAACGCACTGTGTGAGATATTGAGCTGAAACTTGGTATATAGGGGTTTGAAATATGCCCAAATCGAAGGAGCTATCCACTTTTTCGATGAAAAATGCCTAACGGGCCTTCTCGAAAATTTGGAACCGTTCACAACTTTGTTTGAAGATGATTGACAACGATTCATAATGAATTTTCGTAATGAAAATTGAAGGTCGACTCTTTCAGTTGTATTGCCAATTGCATATGCAGGAAATTTTCTGTGAATATTTCTGCACTGACGCCTGTCGGATATAATCCAACGCCCTTCGTGGTATTAGCTAGGGGAGTAGTTGTTTTCTGATAGGCGTCAGTACATTTAACCTACTGTATAGGTATATTCGAGACTGGCTTGAACGTTTAAAGTTCATTTCTTTAGATTTGGTCACTGCCAGTTTGCAAGCATAGCCCACTGACTAATAAGAAAGTATTTCTGTTTACTTCACTTTTTCATCGCACACTTCTAATGGAAGACGCAATATATATTTACCCGAATTCCGAAAAATAAACCATGCAAAATTAATTTTTTTTCTAAACTTCCTTACTGTAACATATACAGTCCGGCGCTGTTACGAAGCGACTCATATTGATTGCAAAGAATACAAAATTCACGTCTGAGGTTCTCTTATGGAATTAGACAATTTCGTCATATCAATAAAAATATTGAGACTCCTGCCTAGCGCAGTTTTTAAAAGTAGCATTCGTTATATCTAATAACAAATATTCATCAATTTCATCAACGAAAAATCTAATATCTGTGTGACACACTAATGAGATTTTCAAAGCGAATGAATTTTGTACCCCTAACATCAATGGTTCAGTCGTTCCTAATCACAAATCATTGATTACCACGAGAATTACCCAGTGAACTCGGACAATTTACAGTCATAATTTTCAAAATGCGTTTGAATCGCATTTCAAAATTAGTGATTGATGTTTTACATTATGGTTCAGGTGAAGTTTTATGTTTTCCAGTGATATATTACATATTTTTATCATACATCTAATTTTGTGGTATAATCTGATTTTGAAGTTATCTTTTAAAATAACTTCCTCTGAAATCATGCCTTCTCATCAAGACTGTTATTAAAATCGAAATTATTATAAATATATGATGCCATGTGTTATTCGTGAAAAAGGACTCAGGTAAACTCATTTCTTCATAACATTTGGTCAAGATAGAAAAGATGTATCCTCATTTACCTTCCATTTATGTAATTGAGTATCCAGTTGCGGCTGAATCTTAGATTGGACAACTTCATTCATAGGGATTTAACATGAGGAATTCTCGTTGGTGCATGTATCAGCACAAAATACCATCGGTATGGAAATAATTTGTAAAAAAAAGGGATGAGAGAATCTTCCAAAGAAAGGAAGGAAGTAATCACATTGAAACTCTATACATGAATGTGTACATCATACAAAGAAGTAACTTTCAGACACAAACTGAAAGAAAGTCCTCCTGAAAGTTACTTCTTTGTATGATCTACACATTCATGTATAGATTTTCAAATTGATTACTTCCTTCCTTTCATTGGAGGATTCTCTCATCCCTTTTTTTTTGTATCAGATGGAGTAGTAGAAAGCCAAAAACTTTGTTCCCAAAAAATTAATCACTCCTAAAAATATAACCCCTTCAATTCAATTTGTAAAACATTTGTATTCTACGGTGATACAATTATTGTTACTTCCATGACAAAGCTAACAAAAACAGTTGAAAAACTCAAGGATCTGGTCACAGAAGAAATGAATAAAAAATAATACGAACGGATGGACAAATCGAAGGTATCCAAGCGATCCTGATAACTCGTCTGAAGCACAGTCCTTCAACAGCAACAAAACCTTCACTAGGTTGAACTCTCAAGTCTCCATTTTCCAAAGGAAAATGAGTTGCAGAGGTTGGTAATGGAAATACTTCATATAATTCTATAGAAGAGCCAACAGGACTATCAAAATATTGCTAAATTTGTGAAAATGCGATACCTACGATAAAAAAAATATTAGAATCATATACACCAGAGTAAACTTTGCAGTTCTTAGAATAGGGATGTCGAAACACTGATGAGTTTGGCCTCATCCTGAAACCCCAAGAGATTTTGTAGAGTTTATAATCCTTGAAAAATATAAATTTATATAATTTTTTTTACGTGTTTTGTTCATCTATTATCATTCA